TTACTGTATTTTTACTATAAGAAGCAAGCTCTCACCATTTTCGTTGGCATTTAAATTCCGCTAAATGTAATTGAGTCTTATCAAGAGTACCTTTTTTAAAGTAAATGAGTTGCGCAATCTAAATTTCATACTCAGACTCCTTTTCTTCAATTGGCGTAGAATTTTTAAAGGTGCAATTATTTAAAAAATCAAGTTCTACGCCTATGTATTATTATCGGACAAAATTTTAATACCATTTTTTTTGCCCCATAAAACTCTACCAATATACCAAATTTCAGCAAAATCGCATATGCCGTTTTAAATTTTTTTATGGCAAAAACGATTTAAAAATTGTAACTTCAAAGCCCTCTGGAGCCCAAACGAAGCAACTTTGTACTAAGGTATGTGGTATGTTTTTGTAAAGACCTTTTACAGACACCTTGTATATTAAAGGTTACCTATAATTATGAATTTCTACTGTGTATTTCATAATTTTAATTAATGAATTTCTGTTATGTATTTGATAATTTTATATCGGCAATTTTTATTATGTTTTTCATAATGGAAATACGTGTATTAAATTTATGAAATACATAATTTTAATTCTTTAACAGAATAATTACGAAATTAAAATTTTGGAAGAAAAGATTATTTTTTTCTAGCTTTTTAAACGATGTTATTAAATACCAAAACGACAAGCCATAGTCGTGGACAAAATAAATTATGACTGTAATCTTTTAATTTAAAACTGAAAAACTTTGGATTAAGAATATTGACTAATCTACCAATTTACAGATATCGATTGCAACGCTTTAGAAAAAACAATGAAAGAGCGTGACGCGAGCTTGGTCAGGTGGAAAAGAGTGAATGACTTTTTGGAATCTTTGGAAACATCAACAAAACACGAAAACCGCTTTTGTATACGCATGTGTCCGAATAGATCAACTTGGACTTTTCCGCCGATTTTCCCGCACCCTTCTCGTCGAAGGGCCGCTGTGGATGTGTCGCGCTATCGATCCGACACCGTCGCCGTTGCAACGATGCTCCGAATAGAGTTGGAAACGTCCCACATTTTCATCTAGGAACAGTCACTCGGTGTACCTTGACTTTCTTTCGTTCTGAAGATGAAACGGCCCAGGGCCGAAACGTTTATTTAGTAATCATATAAAAATAATAATAAAAATAAAGTGCCTTTATTTTGCATTGTAATATACAGTACATAAAAATATATAGAGGCGAAGCTAAGATGGATATCTTAAGTTTACATTATGTACATCTCCTCGATATAGTAATTTGTCCTTTAAATAAGCAAGTTGAGAAGTCGACAAAATACGAAATATTAAAGCAGACATTCGAAATTTAAATAAATTTACTATTTTGAGCCATTCTAATTGTTTTATTTTAGACGAAACTCTATCGTACTTTTTTAACTCAAAAATAAATCTACAACATTAGTTGTTTACATCGTGTCAGTTGTGAGCTAATTACATTGCTAGCATATGGAATAATGCAAATGAAAAACAACCAACCATCTTTACTCCTGAAAATAATGGCTGGACGTTAGAAGAAAACCAGTATCACTTTCATTGGTTTGATGGTAACCAATTACCAGGAGACGTCAGCGAAGCACTTCAAGATTAGGTACTTTACTTTAACTTTAGGTTTACAATTTATTTTTTGTTTTATATTTGTAGTTTTATGTTTTGTAATTCTTTTATTTGTTTTTTACAGAAGAAGCTGACAGCAACGACAACAACATAAATGATGCCGATGAGAATGAAGACTCGAATGGACAATATGACTGCCTCAATAATGAAAATTCTAATGATTATTTTGATGATGATAACGATGATTAAGGACAATCAAATACTTTCACTTACTAACTATAGTTATTTTCTTTTTTACAAAAATTATTTTTTCTTAAAAATGTAGAAACTGTTATCTTTGGTAAAAAAAAATTAAAAATTTTTTTTATAAAACACAATTACTCCGAAAAAAAAATTAATTTACCGAATATATGCAATAAATTGTTTTACTTTAATATTACCTTAATGTTGAAATTAATTTTATTTAAATAGAGATGCAAAAATATTTTATCGAAAGCAGTAAGTACTTTTTGGAATATTTAAATTCTTCGCTCTGACACGCATGCGCATAGTTCTCTCGCGCTCGTACTCACGGCCGAATAATTTTTGTGTTTAGGGGATTTTTGGTCATTCCAATTTGTCTGACTGATTAAATATAAATATAAATAATAAATGTTTCTTCTCTCATAGTTTACATCTTATTACCTATACCCTGTCATGGGTTTACCCAAGAATTTTTTTGTTAATACTTGCCACCACCTGTAGAGGCCTTAACTTGACAGGTCTCCTTTCAAAAATGTTAGTTTTTTGAAAAAACAAGGTTGTTTAAAATAAGCCTTATCTTTTAATCTGTTTAATGTATGTGATTTGTTTTGTATAGTCTTGAATATTTTAAATTTTACTATTTCAATTGACTAATATTTGTTTTTCAAATATTTTTAACTTTTTATTACTTGTAAACTTTGTTCATTTTACAATTTATTTCACCCAACATTTGATGAAACTTGTTTTGTAGTATTCCCTAGTGGATGGAGAGTATGGTGAGTTTTCTCTTTTTTACTATTTTATATATCGTTTGCTCTAAGTGTTAACACACCTTACACCACATATTCTCGTTTCCACTAGGCGAGCCTGAAGATGAAGTGATGACACTTCGAAACCGGTCGCACTCAATGTTTTGTTAAATAATTAAACATTGACTTTCCTTGTGAGATATAAAGGACTTTTTCTCCCCCTTCACCTTAAGATTAAATATAATTTTGTAATAGTTATCTCGATAACATATTAAAAAATAAGTGAAGTTCATTTATTTTTGGTGGATCTTTAAAGCGTCTGACAAAAGTTTTGGTCCATGAAAAGTGTCTGATACTTGCGATACTACTTGAGAATGATATTCTATTAAATATATATAAAAATCAGCCATATAAATTTAAGTTAAGTAACTCTTATTTTTATTCACCTTTCTCACCTGGTACCTGCCCAGGTGTCACTGGGCAAACTTCAAAAACACGCAGGTATACAAAGTACATGAGAGATTACTGAGAACTTAAAGTTTCATTTTTTAGAAAATAATTTATGTCTTATCGCTCTGGGATATCTTACTCTATTTGGTGTTATCGAAATGATTAGCACCAAAATAATGGCGGCCAATAGATAATCGGCACAGAATACCAAGTGTGCTCGATATACTTGTTAACACGTCCTGTCTTTATAACCTAGTCTAATTAGTTTGACACTTTTGTCACTTTAAACAAATAAAAGTAGCCCGGTCACCAAATATGAACAGTGATTGGTTGATTTCGTATCCGTACTTCGTACTAGAATGGATTGTATATCCCATCCTCGTCGCCAATATTGTTTTGTATTTAAAAGGATACAAAATAATCCAGACAAGACTTTTATAACAAACTTTATTTACTGAAAAGTATTTTGACAAAAAAAGTTACAGATGCAGAATACAAAGACAACCTTGTACACGTCGAGTCCGATTTATGACAAGAGACATGTATCTTACAAAATATTCAGTAGGGGCGTTCGGTTATTAGCTCAGAGAAGGAGTGGGACAGGAGCGGAGTGTTCTTCAAAATTTTGTAGGAGTATCGGTGCGTCAAGGTGTCAAATGTCTTTTAGTTTGTCACTTCGTCAGTCTTGTTTGTGGTCTTGTTTTTGTTTACATGTTGGAAAAAGTGGAAAGTTGACGCCGAACCCATTATATTTTATATTGATATATATATATATATATATATATATATATATATATATATATATATATATATATATATATATATATATATATAAAAAAAAAAAAAAAACAATTATGAATGCCTTATTATTGCCCGTGGTGCAGTTTGGCCGTTATCTATATGATGATGATACGTCCGATGAAGATAATGTAATAGAGAAAATTAGCAATTTTGCTGAGGTAACTGTTGAGAACATGGATGATCGGCAGTTTCAGTACCATTTTAGACTAACTCCCGTCTCCTTTGAAGATGTATTATCAAAAGTGGGAAATGTATACACTAATTTACAATTGAATCCATCCAATGTGGGGTATCCCAGGACAAATTTGTATCCTTCATAATGTTTGCATTTTTAATGGTGACATACCTGAACACATGAATTTTGGTGAAGAAATACAAAATGAATTAAACAATGGACCAAATAATTTACGAGATATTTATGAAGAACATGATGAAATAGAAGCAGTTATTCGAAGGCTTGATATTGTTAATGCATTAAGAGTGTAGTTCTGTAGTTGCATATCAGTTGTACATAATAGTTATTATGCGCCAAGGGATAAAAGTGAGTTATTATTATCAATAATAAACTTTTCTCCCATGGCTCATATAACATTTTTTTCACTACTAGTTTTTAAACACTGCATGTATCATTTCATCTTTAGTGCTAATAAAAATTATAAAATCTGTAAGCTTGTCACTTCAATTATTAATATTGACAGTGACAATGACAATCTGCAACATATTTAATCATTTTTATTGAAGGCTTTGTATTTTTCTCCCTTGGTAAATAATGAACAACTTTACTCCCTCAAAAGAGACCAATAATGATATGTTTAAAAGCTAGTAGTAAAAAAATAAATTTTTTACTTTAAATATATTTTGCATTATAAATTAGCTTATTTATTTCAATATATACTGGGTTTATAGGTTTTGCAAAATTCATTAGTTTTTTTAAATTAAATTAATTTTTATCAAACATTGTCTAATGTATATTACTATTAAATTGTACAAAACAATCATGTTAAGGAATATATAAAAAGAGTATATTAAAGAAAGTCATGGTTAAACCCAACTTTTATTAAATAACTAAAACAAAAAATAAGCAACTGATATAATAAAACAAAAGCTTACATATTATTAAAATATTTTTTTAAACTAAATCACTACCTATATTTTAAACAAAATAAGTACTCTCATAAATAACAAAATAATACTGTTTCTAAAACAAAGAATATCTATTACATCTTCTCCACCATTTTTTCAAATAACTCATTGAATTTATCCATTCGCTGCATTTTTTCTTTATGCCGGGTTTCCAAATGGTTAACTTTTTGTTTTCTTTTTCTTGAATAATTGGTTTCTAATCCTGATGTTCCTGGTTGCTCCTGATTTTCCTTATTAATACCTACATAAAAAGAGCAATAATTTAATTACAGGGTTCCAAATGTTTTAGAAAACAAATAGTCTGATATAACAACAGTTCAGTGAATTTTTATTTTTAATGGCCGATTGCCTTATGAACAGTTTTTGATGTTTCAATTAAGTATAAAAATAAACATTTACCATTTTCACCAGCAGGTATTTCCATTCCCATTCTACTGCTGCATGTAGCAACCGGTACAATATCTGGTTTATTAAACAAAAAATTATGCATCACTGTAAAGTACTGCCAATGTCTCCTTCTTTGTCCAGATGTATTATTATTAAGTAGTATGCTTTTGTACGTTCTTTTAAGGGCTTTCCATTTATTTATTACTTGAGCCTGTGTTATTAAAGGAACTTTCTCTGCAACTGCAGCAGTCACTTTTAACCATACATTTCGTTTAATTCCATTGTTAAACTCTCTATCAATCTCTTCCATTTTCCTTATAAGGAAAATGGTGTTTTCACAAGTCCATATTTTGTCTTCATTTTCTGTCTTAGTATCAGACACCTGTATTTGAAATTCGTTTATTAAACCCTCGGTCATAGGCGCTAGTATGCATTCATTTGCTAAAACATACAAAGTGATAAACACAGAAGGTGAGTCACTCAGAAGCAGAATGGCCCAATTGCAATTTTTGCTTAATATAGTTAGGCCATACAATGGAGGTTTCTCAAATGAAATAAGAAGACTTCTACTTGGACATCCTTTATCCTACTGGAAGACCTGTAGAAAAATTAAAATGAGACCTTCAACATTCCGCCTGTTTGTCAATTTTTACACCAGCTTACAGACCCAAGTGAAAGATTGCGTTTTTTGTTAAAATTTTATATTTGGCAAAGTGGCCAAACTGACTTTTTTTTAAGAAAATGTTTTCCTGAATTTTTTTCTTATCCTTAGCCTTATAAACGTATACGCTGATAATCACATCATTTGTATATGAATAAAATGGTACTGTTAAACAGAAAAAACGGATTTAGTTTTGGCCCAATTTTTTACTTGCTTTTATCTCAAAACTTTAATTGCTTCTGAGCGATTCAAATATAAAAACTAGTAAATTAGAAGGTTGTTGGGCACTACTTTTTTGTTGCTAAAATTTACCCTTTAACTCAAATAAGACACTTTTTCGTAAATAATTTTTTGGTGAACAAGAGAACTAGATTACTACAATAATACATATAATCTGGTACATACTTACTCGTTATGTTTTGCAGTACGACCATGCCGTTTTCAATTAACGGCTCGTCATCATTCATGACTATTTTATATGTTTTTGTGTTTACTACCTCCATTATTAACAAACTGATAAACAAACTACAAAGTTCAGTACAACACCAATGCGCATGTCCACTCCAATATTCCCTATCCAAAAGGTGGTGTTTATGGCGTAACTCTTTTTTAATCCACTCTGTCAAAACCGAACTCATTTAAAGAATACTCCGTTGACTCCATCTACTCCTAATGTAATAAGAGAACGGATTAGAGAAGCACGGAGCTAAAGGAGTTCAAAGAGTCAGATAACCGAACTCAGTTAGTGTTGACAAAACTCTAAAACTTTAAATATTAGTCTAAAATACCACAATATTCATTCAGTAGAACGCAGTTACCTTCTTTTTCGTTCCGTAGTCTGTGCGTAAAATAGGTAATATCCATGTGGATGTAGAAAGAAACTGTCTAGCTCTTTGTTTATTCTTCGGCAGTTGAAAAACTTGCCAACAAATAGGTAACTACGTATTTCTCCCTCTTTCACTTGCATGTCAACTATGATGCATCCCTTTGGAGAAACTATTCTAAAGTTGTTCAAATTTTTCGGATGCAAAAATAACAATAATAAGAATATTGCCAACAATATTTTACTACCTACTTTTACTACCTACTTTATATTTATGTCATACAGTTCATCAAATTTCTAGAGGTGTTCGACGCCCAGACAGAGAACGCGCTACGTGTGACTAAGATAGCTATTGTACAGTCTGCTAAACAAGTTATTTTAAATAGTTTTTAATATTTTTAGGTAATTAAATTTTAAAAGTGTGGAATAGTTTAGGGATTAAATTGGTCTGATTGGACTTTCTTAGAACGTTTTTAAAAGCAGCTAAAGATAGTATGTAGAATTGAAAATAATTATTATGCCATAAAAGGTGTTTTGGAATTCCTTCAACCTTTTGAAATTGAGTCAGAAAATATAAATTTTATAGGATAGCGGAAAATACCTATAATTTTTTTGTAGGCCTTTGTAAATCGTGGAAATAGTTTATATTTTATTTCTACCTTATTAAGGAAAATGGTACCTATTATTAATAACGGTTGCTTCTGAAACATTACTAAAATTTTCGAAATTTTGTTTTTCTACAAAATAATAAACTATACTATTTAGAAAAAAATTTATTTCTCTTATAATTTTATAAAAAATAACAGGGGAATATTTACATTTCTTGATCTATTAAACAAAACGATAAATTATCTCGACGAATGACACCATGTTCTAGTACGGAAGCTAGCTTTACATTTTTGTTGGTGGTTTCATGGGTTTCATATCAATTTTTTGTAATTGTAGTTTACACGTACATATACCTCTTAACACTTGTTTGCTTTATTAAAAAAGTGTGTTGTTGTGATTTACGTCGAAATAAGTCAAAAACAACTTGAAACCCCATATAAAATCAAAAAGGAGAAACGGAAAAAAATTGAGCCTGTAAATGAACACAACTCAGAAACAAAAATAGCTATCTAATAATAAAAAAATAAAATTTGATTCTTGTGCAGCTTCATCTATATCATTAACTGTTTTTGGTTTTTTAATGGTGTTTCTTGGTGATGAAAATTCCGATATCTCACGGTTATCGATTCTTTTTTTCTCTCCAGAAATGCGGACGGACGACAGTGTTTTTAGATACTCCTGTGGCTGCAGCAACACGATCATTTACATTTTTAAATGGTATTGAAGGTGAATTAAAGTTTCCTTCTCTTCTCATAAACTCTATAACATTGGCTATTATTTCGCGAGATTGACTGTTAATCACGCGGCCTCTTAATTTGCTATTAAACTCCATACTTAGGTTCTATTAAACTGTAATGAGCAAAAGACACAAACGAAAATAAAAGAAATGTTTTATCGAAATTTACATGTGACATTTACGTCTGAATGAAATAGTGAAATACTTGATGCGCAGAGTGTACTTTCATTGCGTAAATCCGTCGGGATGCCTGTCAGTAGTGCTTTCTCTGTCTAGCCGTCGAAAGCCTCTAGAAATTTGATGAACTGTACTTGTTAAAATTCATATAGTCGAAGCAATGAAGCAAAAAGTTCCGGGGTTTTTCCGTGAGAGTCGGATCGGAATGCGGTTTTCTGCATTCGCTTGCAAAAATTATTTGTACCATTCCCCCGTAATTTCCGGGTCATACAAACCGGAAATTGCATTGCTGCAGCCAAAAATGCATTTAAAAAATGCATTATTTGAGAGGCCTCTTGGATGATTTCAAAACTTGTTAAATAAGTGTCAGAACTAGCCCAGATCGGGTGCTCGGGAGTATTCGAGGTCGCTGATCACGATTATGATGTCTAAATTGACCCACAGCCGACCTGGAGCTTAGGAACGTCGACGAACGTCATCTTCGTGGGACTCTCCCAAAATTCACGCAGGGAAGGAAAGCAACTAGGCGATAGGGGTTTTTATGGGTCGTTGAATCCAAATATGGCATCGGCGAATACCTCCCCGGACACCTGGTGCGCCCAAACCTCGACCTGGACGTCATCTCCGAGAAATTTCCTCACAATATCGACAAGAACAACCCGAAAATGATTGAGCGGAGTTTTTTGGGGCGCTGAATCTAAATTTCACGTCGAAAACGACCCCCTAAACACCTGATGCACCGGAACTTGGCCCTGAACGTCATCCCCGAAGGGTTTCCAGACCCAATTGAAAAAGATGAACCGAAAATCGTTAAAGGGTGTTTTTTGGGGTGCTGAATCCGAATTTCACGTGGAAAACGACCCCCCGAACACCTTGTGCGCCCTAACTTGGCCCTGAACGTTTTCATCGTGGTTCTTCCAGACCCAATTGAAAAAGACGAACCGAAAATCGTTAAAGGGGGGGGTTGTGGGTCGCTGAATTCAAATATGGCATCGGCGAACACCGCATGGACATCTGGTGCGTCTGAATCTAGATCTGGACGTCATCTCCGAGGCGTCAATACTGCAATAGCTGTGTGCAATTGTTGATTCTAGATTACGTGAGAAGGAAAGAAAGAGAATGAATAGAAACGCAATATTTATGTAATTTTCGGTAAAACAATTTTTATTGGCCTCAAATCGAATACAATGAACCTGTAAGTTTGTCATTCTTTAATTAATTAACTCAAATGTGTCTGATCATTTTCTTCGTCATCGACTGATGTATTCATACGGGGAACATCTCCCTCATCTGAGGCCTCTGTCCCAGGCACATTAACATTTTCATCTGAATATCTTTCACTGTTAAGGCAAGTTGAACCTTCACAGGTGTTCAGATTACAATATCCTTTGCATCCACAGAATATTAGTTCCATAATATTCTTGGGCGCAGGTTTTTCTTCCATCTGTACAGGCACTAGTGTATCGCCTTCCTTTCTCCACCCCCATTTTGTTGGGTCCATGGTCAGCTGGTCTCCGTGCAGCCATTGTTGTACTTGAAAATAGACCCTCTTTAGATGTTGTTGAATGGCGTTTACTGTAGGGAGAATTTTAGCCAAATTTACTCTCCCCGTCGCAGCGGTTCTCCTGTACATTTTGCACCTGTACGTTTGAAGTAACTGGTCCCATTTTGGCTTGTCAGGAATATTTGGTTTCCTGAATAACATTGGAGCACTGTACATTGCCAGGATTAGCTGCGCCCCGTTCTCAAAAATTGTTTCGCTGGACAAACCAGAATGGATGAACTTTTTCTAGGGCCTCAGGGGAGAGTTTTTTCTTTTTTCCTTGTTCTGTAATATTTTCTAATTAATAATTAATAACAAACTGACTTGCATGTAAAGTAGTTAAAATTATTCTATTCTATTTAATCTATTCTATCAAACACAGTGAAATGTGTCAAATATCCATAGCCAATCTGGATTTAAAAAGAAACTGTACGGCATGAGCAGCGTGATATTATACTGGATTTTCTTTACAGGAAAACCCACCTATATCTCGCCGCTCCCATCTCTGTTTTTAAATCCGCCATTTGCTTTGTTTACACCGTGTGTCTCGTGCGGTGAGAAAAGGTGAGATTTGTGAGGAGATGGACCTCTTTGGAATTATTTTCTGTGTGAGAAAACTTTAAAATTGGATTAACTGTGTAGTGGCTTGTCGGAAAGTGTTTCTTATTGTGTTCTCGGCGATCTGGAAAGCTGAACTTTTGGGTAAGTTCGGTGTTTAGGTTATAACGAAGCGCCGGTATTTATTGACGTAAAGGGGATTGTAGATTGGGAATTGGAGTTGGAGGTTGAAGACGTGTATAAGTGTTTGTTTAAACTCTTGTTCAACATTTTTTTCCTGAGTGAACGTTAAACACGTTATGAAAAGTTAAAACTAAAGAAAAAAACTAAACAACAATAAGACCATGAATTTCAGAGAATAAATATTTCAAAAATGATGCAAATTAATTCACATCGTGTTTTCATTGTATTTTGACGCAACGTAGGATGGTGATAATATGGAAGTGATACATAATAAACAGAAAATAGTTTCATTTATACAGAGTGATCCACGTTCAAGTGGCAAAATTGTTGATGACATTTTTAATTAAAATATCCCGCATATTTTTACATTTTTAGATTGCTACATATAAATGGCCTTCATTGTTTTTGAAAATCGGATGCAGCCTTGTCAAAATATTAAAATTTTTATAAAAAATTTCAAAAAATCAGTACATTTCGTATTAGGTATTCAAAAACACATTTATTGTACTAATTTTAAAAAGAAACTTTGGCTGAAGTTAGTTAAGACATGAACTTACATTGTTAATATTTTATTATTATTTCGGTATATACAGGGTGTTTATTATAGTATAAAATTATATTTTCTGAAATTTAAACACATATAAAACTTTGTTTTTTTGAATGATAGTAATAATTATCTAATCCTGTTTCTACAAATTGTTGTAGCAATTCCGTAATGTACTTATGGTTGCATTTCTTCCGGAATGAGCAGCATGAAATTGTTTAGCTGTAGCTCTTGTAGATATATTATTTGCATAATACAATGTCTCAGGAGTACTACATACCGTCCTATCTCAGTACGTCAAATTTGTCACACTTCTTGCCTCTACGTGGCAGTCTAGTATAATGACAGAGGTTAAAACTTAGCAATTTCGGTTGCCATTGTTGCCAAGAATTTTTTATTGATACATTCATAGATACATCAGTTATGACTTTTCAATTTTATAATACATGTCATGTGTTCCAATTTTTACAATTATTCATTTTATAACTATACAGAGTGAGTTTTAAGTATGGAACGCACCAATTATCTCGGAAACGGCTTGAACGATTTTTATAAACTTTGGTTAATACATCCGATAACATGGTTGTATTTACATTGTTGTCAGATCTTTCGGTTTTCTGGAAATATAATGAACTTTGTTATTTTAAATGGGATCACCCCGTATATTTTTGTTTTTTAGAATCCTTAAGAAATACTGTTTATTTTGCATGCAATTTACATTATCTCCGCGGAAGTTAAAATAATACGTTTAGAATGGCTATGACAGATATAATAACTTTGACGTTTCAATAAATTATTATTGACGATTACAAACGTTTTATTTTTTTAAAATAACAGAAACCCCATTTTTTATTAAATATTGACTGGCACCAGTGTTTCCGAAACATATGTAGTGCCTATGCTAAATTTTTTTTTATAAAAAAAAACTATAAACCGAATAAACCAGTGAACTTTTTATTTATATAAAATTTAATAATTTATATTCTAGCCGATATCCTATAACAAGATCTACTGTAAGTAAATTGGTAAAAAATTGTTCAGTAGAAGATTTATCCAAATTATGGCGTAGAAAAACTGCATCAACTGAAAACGAATCTTATAGAAACAGTTAGATTACCCTGTATATTTTAAAATCTTATAATTACACACCTAATGTAATGTTATATAGCATTTCTCCAGTTCTCAGAGGTAATATTTGAGAACTATTTCATTATAAGTTTTACAACGCTGTTGGAATTTTTTAGTGAAGTATTATTTACTTTACTTGTTTTTTAAGTTGGGCCATAATAGTTCAGTCGGGTTCAAAACACAGTAGTAAGGGGATAATCTTAACACATTATGACCATTTTTCTTGGCCATTTCGTCGACGATATGTTCCTTGGCAATTATTTTTGTATTTAGAACTTCTATAAGTTGGGCCTTCGTATAATGGAGAACTCCTGTATGGGATGTGCTCCATTACCATTTTTTCAATTACATATTCCTTAGATCAAAATAAGTCGATTTAAGTAAAATTACCTTAGTACAAAGTTGCTTCGTTTGGGCTCCAGAGGGCCTTGAAGTTACAATTTTTAAATCGTTTTTCCCATATAAATTTAAAACGGCATATGCGATTTTGCTGAAATTTGATATATTGGTAGAGTTTTATGTGGCAAAAAAATGGTATTAAAATTTTGTCCGATAATAATACATAGGCGTAGAACTTGATTTTTTAAATAATTGCACCTTTAAAAATTCTACGCCAATGGAAGAAAAGGAGTTTGAGTATGAAATTTAGATTGCCCAACTCATTTACTTTAAAAAAGGTACTCTTGATAAGACTCGATTACTCTCATGATTTTGACGAAATTTGTATTTTAGTAATTTTAGAACATAAACAATAATTATTAAAATACAAACTTTGTCAAAACCATAAGAGTAAATCGAGTGTTATCAAGGGTACTTTTTTGTAGTAAATGAGTACCCAATCCAAATTTCATACTCAAACCCTTTTTTGCCATTGGCGTAGAATTTTTAAAGGTGCAATTATTTAAAAAATCAAGTTCTACGCCTATGTATTATTGTCGGACAAAATTTTATACGATGAAAAACATAAAAATGTACTTTTTTCATATCTTCATCAACACCTCTAATCGAGACTTTTAACAAAAATACTCGATTCTTGCCATGTACGATTTTTTGAGGAATATTAATTATTTGCCTGCAATACGTATACAAAAACATTTATTGTTGGTTTCCATAGTTTCATCTAAATAAAAATATTGTCAAGTTTTAACACCTAATCTCTTGTTAATGATTGAAAGTTTTCTATCTGACTCAATAATTAAAAAAACAAATGCGTGGTTTATTAATATGGCTGTATAATATACCAATGCAGCATATACCAATATGTTACTGACATTAGGATTTTGTGAAGGAAATGCTCGAGAGGGTGTACTCTAAAAGGTTTCCAAATCGTCGTGTACCTAGCCACCCAACTTTTGCTGCTGTTGAGAGACGTCTTCGGGAGACCGGTTCCTTTGCTTCCAACACTGTTGATAATGGAAGAGAACGTTTTGTAAGGATTCCTGAAGTTGAAGAAGACATTTTAGAACGTGTTGAAGAAGATCCAGAATTAAGCACCAGACGAATTGGAAGGGAACTAGGAGTAAGTAAAGATGTCGTTCATAAAGTGCTTAGAGAACAATTGCTACATCCATACCATAAGAAGCCAGTACAAGAATTATTAGTTCATGATCCTCAAATTCGTTTGGGTTTTTGTCGATTTGTTAATATGCAAAGAGAAAGAGATCCAAACTTTGTCAAGAAGGTTCTCTTTACCGATGAAGCGGGTTTTACAAGAAGAGGTATAACTAATACCCATAATGAACATGTTTATGCCGTTGAAAATCCGCATGCAATAAAGGTAAACCATTTTCAGCACGAATTCAAAATTAATGTGTGGGCTGGAATAATTAGTAATTTAATTGTTGGTCCTGTCATACTTCCACGAAGATTAACTGGAGAAAATTATTTGGATTTTCTACAAAATACGTTGCCAGAATTGTTAGAAGATTTACCTCTCCAACTTCGGGGAGATATGTGGTTTATGCAAGATGGAGCTCCACCACATTTTTCTTTAAACGTTAGAAACCACTTGAATGAACAATATCCACACAAATGGATAGGCAGAGGTAATGACGCACCTGTAAACTGGTCACCACGTTCCCCAGACCTAACACCGATGGATTACTTTTTATGAGGACATCTGAAATCCAAAGTTTACAGGGAACCTGTAGAAAATGAGGAACAACTCTGGCAACGTATTCAAGATGTAATAAACAATCTTAGAGGTGATGAAGAAGTTATGGAAAGGATACATTTTAATTTTCTTCGACGTATAAATCTTTGTATGCGTGAAAATGGTGAACATTTTGAACAATTTCTGTAAAATCTCTATTTTGATTATGTTGTAAATAAATATTTTTGTGAAACCTATACACTCTAAATTATTAAAACAGAAATTTAGCGAAAACCATGAGAATAATCGAGTCTTATCAAGAGTAGCTTTTTTAAAGTAAATTAGTTACGCAATCTAAATTTCATACTCAAACTCCTTTTCTTCCATTGGCGTAGAATTTTTAAAGGTGCAATTATTTAAAAAATCAAGTTCTACGCCTATGTATTATTATCGGACAAAATTTAAATACCATTTTTTTGCCACATAAAACTCTACCAATATACCAAATTTCAGCAAAATCACATATGCCGTTTTAAATTTATATGGGAAAAACGATTTAAAAATTGTAACTTCAAGGCCCTCTGGAGCCCAAACGAAGCAACTTTGTACTAAGGTAATTTTACTTAAATTTACTTATTTTGGTCTAAGGAATATGTGGTATGTTTTTGTAAA